CATCAGTACCCGTCAAAATTTTTTCCCATCGAAGTGCAACTCTGGTATTTTCGCCTCGAACATCATTTACCGAGCACATTTCAGCGGCGCGGCCACGCCTTGTCGACGATAATGTACCGTGAAAATATTCTTATCATCATCCCATCATCCCGACCGAAAGACGTTACTCGGCTGCTATGTAAGACATGGAACGCATGCCACCAGGGAAAAAGACCGATGCTTCTTAGAATTAGGACAAAATCTAGATATGAGTATTATATTTGAAGCAATTTATAACATAATTTTTAGCCCAAAATCTGGGCTGCGAGCTTGGTTGAACTCAGGCTCGTTTAAGGCAACTTCAACTATTATGAAAAAATCGCTGGTTCGAAACTTGTTTCCGAATTATGGTTCTTTTGGAATTTTTCTTAAAATGATCTATAAAACTAGAAATTTAAAGTGCACAATAGAAATTCAAATTCAAAAACTTCAAACTTTAGACCTGTGCTATTAGTACTACTAGGATTTTGGATGACTATGATGATGAATGCTACTCACGAATATGTAATTGAAACAGTATTCACCAGATAGTTTCTGATGTCAAATATCATTGATGAAGGATCATATATCCAAGGTAACGTTTAGTAAGAATAGATAAATTTTGTTAAAAAGAATCTCAAAAGAATATATGATTTGAACGAATATTTTACATATTACACAGTTTAGATTTGGTAGTGTGAACTTATAATATTCTTGTCACAAAAGAATTTTATCTTCATTAATAAATAATCCAAATAGTTTAGAGATGCTAAATTCTATGCTATATAATATAATCTATTATTCGTTGAAGAAGAATTCATTACCTAAGTATTGTATTTAATTATTCCAGAACGCCGTTCGATCGTAAGATTGCTCCAAATCCTCTTGGAATACATCCAAAATAACTTACGAGAAACTACTTAATGAAGCAAAATTACTGACACAGTTTTGCAAATGAACTAAGCATTTGCAATGATAAAGTTTGTATTGATTTCTGAGGAAATAGATATTTTAATATACTCATTTGAGCATTATCTTAATCAGATAATAGAAAGAAACACATTATTACATCTTACTTATTGAATTAGATTAGGTCGAAAAATAAAACAAAATGATTATATAAAGTGCTGTAAAAAGTATCATTCCATAAAATTGGAGTTATTTTGGTAAATATCTGATTACAGCCTAATCCAGTTTGGTGAGTTAAAATTTTGTGACCATATCTGCAGACATTAACTAATTACAAAAAAAAATCCTTTCATTTTTAGCGATTACATTTCATCCCTGAATTCACATCACCTAGTTTCGTAAAGAATTTTTTTTAGAATTTCCGAAGATGTTTAATGTAAAAAATATTGAAGTTTTGAAAATATTGATATTTTCTCACTCTTCTCATTAATTATTTAAGGCGATTGTTCAAGCATACCAGGAAGATCATGCAATTTGCCTTAAGGCAAATCATGCAAGTTACCACTTACACATAGTTTCTGATCTTTTATCACATCTGTATTTACAAAATATCGCATTTTTCGATCATAACTGATCAAAGTGTAATCCACAATTCAACACATCAGATTTAAGAGATTCTTTACAGTTCAACCCCTTGCACTCAATACGTATTACTTTAGTAAAAACCATTTAAAATATTATTGACCGATCCCGCCGCAAAATAGACCAATGTTATGGTAAGGTTATGTTAAGTTTCAGTTTTCATATAAAATGCTACTAAAAACTATCAAAATGCTTTGTATTTTCTGTGCTATCAGGCATGTTGCAAATAAAATGCAACTTCACTCACATGTTATCAAGCAATATCTCAAAGATGCAGACGATAAATTGAGTTTTTTATGTATGTGAGTAATCTAGGTCAGGTTTTCTATATAAAACGCCTGACTGCACCACATGGGAATTTGACAGTTTTTAGTACCACTTTATATGAAAACTGCTACATAACATAGCCTTGCCATAACATTAGTCTATTTTGAGGCAGTATCGGTTCCTTAATCTTAAAAAAATTGAAGATTTTTTCATTATCATCTGATCCCAGCCTAATCCAGCTCTATACACATCAGCTAGTGGAACGTTATGCTTGTAATGTATGTAAATGCGATGCATGATTGTCATTGCATATTTCTCGGCAGGAAAACCGAGTTTTTCATGGACGACGTTAGACGTCGTCACAGAGCGGATACGCGCCAGGAAAAAAACTGAAACTCCGTGAACTACATCATTTATAATAAAGAAACATCGAGTATAATGCCGGAACGATGGGAAAGCTTTTTTCGGGATGATGTGCAAACGGGACGTTAAGGAAATGCGGCATTTGTCTGCGATTCGCATTTCACTATTTGTACTAGAGACGGGTTTTGTAAAATGTATGAAAGATGAGGTGAATCGAAAGAGATTGATTGTTAAGTGGAATGAAAATCAGAAGTGAGACAGAAATATATGTTTAGTTTCATTATTTAGTTCAACCTGGTTTTTCATTATTTTGAAAGTTTTTGTAGAAAAAATGAACATAAAATCTTTGAGACCACGATTATTAGCAATTAGCACCGCTATACAAATATATATAGATATATATTATATTTGTATATTTATACAGGGTGTCCCAAAACTTAACGTCAAGCCGAAATGAAACGAGATCTTTTACCTTAACAGTCGAAAAATGAAATAATCTCAAATTGTTTGGAAATTATTAGCTTTTAAGGCAACCTAGAGCTTTGGTAAAATTATGACTATTTTTCTGCTGATGGGGTTAATTTTTATGAAATTCGTTTATAAAAACTTTGTAACCGTGAGTTACAATTCTAGGATCACAGTAAAAAATAACACAATTATATAATAAAATAGAATAATGAAAGTTAACAGGTTAACGATCTTCGCCACGACGAATCCATATATATATATATATATATATATATATATATATTTTTTTTTTGTGTATACATTATGATAGTTCTCACTTAGGTCCCACTTTTCCTTATCTCTCGTGAAAAATTCAAAGCATCTCCATAGCGTTTTCGCGAATTCGCGAACAACGCAAAGTAGGGTGGAAAACGTCTGAAAATAAACCGCGTGAACCGACTGCCTCAGGTTATTTATCTAACCGGGTTTATGAATGGGGTTAAAGTAAAGATAATCCCATGTAAGATGTAGAATTATGACTTGCACGGCTTTAACGATTCCTCTGAAGGAGATAAAATAACATATTAATTTCAATGAGCCATTTACGAGGTTTTATAACCGGGCGTCTAGGTAATTTACGTGAATTAGCACCGCTCATTGATGATTACGGAATAGTCGGGAATGTTTAATGTATCACTAAGGTAATAAATTTGAGATCATAGTCCACCTTTGCAGTTGGTCTTAAAATTTTAGAAGATCGAAATAAATAAAAATGGTTTTATTGACGTATTTCCGTTATTTGGGGAACCCAGTACATTATATATATACGAGGTGTGTTCAAAAAGTACCCGGAATTACTAATAATTAAATTTCGCGGGTCTGGAGTGTCTGATTGTCAAAAAATTTTTTTATTGTGTTGGTATACATGCCCCTAAAGTATGATGAAATTTTCAGCTATATTCACTGTTTACTTTGTCTGTGGTAGTCGCTAAGGTTCGACGTGTTTTTCTGAGCTCGGCGATTTTTACAATGGAAGAATTGAAAAGTCAAAGAATTTGTATTAAATTTTGCGTAAAAAATGAAATAAAGTGTTGCAAAGTGCAAAAATTCACCAGATATGGCTCCGTGTGACTTTTTCCTATTCCCAAAGTTGAAGAGACCCATGAAAGGACGGCGGTTTTCCTCGATTGAAGAAAATCGCTGAGAGTGCTCAAGGACATATCAAAAAGTGAATATCAAGGGTGCTTCGAAAATTGGAAAAAACGCTGGCATAAGTGTATTATATCTGGGGGGGACTACTTTGAAGGGGACCACATTAATGTAGACGAATAAATAAATATTTTTTTGAAAAAAACGAAAATTCCGGGTACTTTTTGAACAGACCTCGTATATATATATATATATATATATATATATATATATATAAATATGCATTGCATAATAATTTATATATCATGGTATACTATAATTCATTATTAATATTTCAACGTAATAAATTTCCTCGATAGATACATCAAAGAAACCATCGTTTTTCCCGAATTTCCTTACAATCAGCCGATAAAAAACTATCTTTTCTAACAATGGAAATTTCCTATTCAATATTTCCGGCTTCAGTTTGGGCTTTGAATTCAAGTAAAAAAGTCAGTATGTAGGTTCTCATATCCGAGATTTGCGCATACGTCCTTTATAGTTTTCCACGGTCAAAATTCAACGGACTGCACAGTCGAGATTGGAATAAAGAAAATCTGAGTTATGATACTTGGATCGGATCCAAGTTCTGGATATTTTATAGTTTGATACATATACGGAATCAGAATATACATGGCCATGGGATGTGGAAGATATTTGATCATGTTTTTGATGACATCCGTAGAACATCATTCATGAACAAATTATGGATAATATTGTATTTAACAGCAATAAGGTCACTACAAATAGTATTGTTTTTTTTTCAAATTTCACAAACGTAATAAAACAATCGAAATCGAGAAAAAGCAATCAAAATATGAAAATGTACTACGATTCTCTTAACAGATCCAATTTTTAAAGAAATTTTATATTCTTAAAGTTTGACAAAATTTATTTGATCATGTACTTGACGACTTTCAGATTTATGTTATTCCAGAGCAAATTTATGATGTTAAACGAGAAAATTTTTGAATAAAAGAATATATTGACTAAGTTGTATAATTCAGTAGTGTTGGACACAAATTTTGATAATGATATTAAAGCTTATTTCAAGCTATTTACCAGAAATACTAAATGTTTATCTCAAAGTTTCTCGTTTAGCATAATAAAATATTCAAAAAAAAATTATAAATGATTAAAAATACTAAAATTAAAACTTACCAAATGAGAAGGGCAGTGTTGACAACGATCATCTGCAAAAAAAAAATATTAGATAATATTTTTCTATCTTATTTGAAACACATATACATATAAATTGATTTGATTTTTATATTTTTTTAATTTCACTTGAATCTATTTATCCTATTTTATACCAAAAATTGTATATTTATCGATACAAAACTTATTTCAAAATAAAACTTAATTTAAAATAAATAGTTTTTCCCAGCAACATTTTCTATACGTTTCATTTAATTCATAAGGTCGCTCATTATGGAAAATATTATATAAAAATGTAATATATTTTGATAAAAAATATTGAATGCGTTGTGCATTAATATATTTAAAACGTAATATATTATATATATAATTTATTTTAAAATATTGAAGCTTTAATAAAAGCTCAACAATACCGCAACGATCATTTTTATCTCGAGAAAACTTTCTCTCTCGCCCAACTAGTTTGTTTCTTCTGTTTTTCAATTTGGTCAGATTAGTTTTCTTCGACGTCTCGTTCAAGTTCTTTCAAGAGTGGCCATTTATTGCGACTTATAAAGTCGTTAAGGCAACATCAAATAAAAACATTAACGACAATATAAGCTCTTTAGTTTCGCCAAACTCATAATATCGAGATTTATACGCCATACAGAATATTCAACTTTATTCATACACTATTTCCACTGGAAAACTTATGCAATAATATGTAACAAAAGGAAAAGAGGGGCTTAGAACGAAACTAAGTGGTTGCTTGGGATATGAGAATATGTTTCTCATTTTTCTTATATCAAGTGCTTCCTTTACCCCAACTGTGTTATATAACGGTACAATATTACTCAGCGCCTTGGGAAAAATTCACACGAACGATTCGAATCGGGACAGATTCTGGACAAAGAAACATATCAAAATTAATAATATTTATTTAGGTAAATACATATTTTGTAAGATTCGCCTGAGCTGTCAATCTGATAAAATAATAAGCAATTGCCTTAAACTTCGTGGTACAGACCATTCGACTTTGTACAGCCAAATAATTGACCTCTGAAGCGTAAAGATATGCAAAAATTTTCATTTTTGGTTTTAGGACGATTACTATAACTTACCCTAAGGAAAGAAAAATAATTTGAATGCTATAGCATTTGTGACATTCTGCATCACAATGAAAATGAATGCACATTAATTAAGTTTCAGTTGTTTCAGCTCTACCTAGTAGCTTAATTTCTGTTACAGGTTTTCTGTCTTGATGTGTGCAAAGTTCCTTAGTTCATCTGATTCTCGCATATGAATTTCGCTGAATAGTTTCTACATGCATACGCCAGACAAGTGCTTTTTATCCCATATTACATTTCGTGAAGATTCTCGTAAAGGGTTACGTACGTTCCGGACAAAAAATTAATACTTCAGAGCCCGGAGTGGCTACGTTCTGCGAATCCGGGGAGATGCGCAAGGCGCAATATAAAACATGTATACATGCCTTATTATGCATGCAAAATTGTAAAGAAAACTTAGATATCAGCATGCTTCATAAAAATTGTTGGTCTACCTAATCTAACCTATAATCTATCTCCAATTTTCACCTTACATCAAATTAAATAAATTGGTAGTAACTACATATAATGAAAACCAAAGAAGCAGCAAAAATAATTATGTTACAAGCAACCAAAATATCGATCAAAAAGATATGTTGCTGTTTTTATTATGTTCATTTCCGCAAGTTTAAAACTTTTTTCCATGTTTCTGTTTTATCTCTCTTAGTAATCGGCGTACTCTACTGTCGTAAAACATGTCCAATGTATAAATCAAATAAATTACCATAGAATTTTCATGCAAAAGATAGACTTGAACTGATAAGAAAACGCACCCTATAATTACTTCTTGCGAACGAATAAATTTTAATATATCGCTGCTTCAATTCGATAATGAAGCAGAAGTGTAAAATATGGTGACTTAACTAAATAAAAAAATAATGCTTATATATTGTTATCATAATTATAATAATATAGAGACAGCAAAGCAAACAATAAATAGTAGCTTCTTTATAATGTAGAATTATAGAAGCTCATCGAAATACACAAATTATCAATTGTTCCTTTGATTTGTTGCAACTCAGACTTATAATAAAATATTTATAGTTTGATAATTAATGCTTACCCATTTTGATTTTGTTTTAGAACTGGGAACTATGGTGAAAACATTATTCATGTTTTTATAATTAATTTTTACTTAGTTGACTTACTTATTATATCAATTAAAAATACATACTTTTTACATCCAAAAATTCCATTTTCACCGCATTTGATGTAATTTACCCCGGTTCCCCGACCACTGATTTACAACATCTATCTATACCCATGAAACAATCAAATATATTCCAAACTCAACAAACCATCCAGTGTAGTATCAAATTACGTTCCACGTGAAGCATATGATACGATGACTTTGCGAATGAGATTTCCTCCTACAAGAGACCACAGGTCGCGCGAGGCTTATTGCTCGCTCGAGGATCAACTAAAGCGCCCGGAGCGCCCGGAGCACCCGGAGCGGCCACGGTCGACAAGTGGTCGTCGGCCAGTAATTGAATCAGTCCGGTAGCCGTGAATCGCAACCGGAATGGGTTGCTCCGGTTGCGCCGGTTACCCCAACCGGCCAGATTGCATGCGACCGGAGCGGCGCGTGCACTCATTACTGAGAAATGAGCTACTCATTGTTCAAGTTGACTTGGGAAGGATTTTTTGTTAAATGAAATCTCAGAGCACTGAATGGGGTTAAAGGATTTCATTTTGTTGTGTCACTAACGTTTGGCTGTGACTTAGGACTTGGTTTTTTGTCTTAGTACGTTTTAAAAATGACACAATATTTACCCCCGATGAGTCCATAGCAACTTTCAAGGGGTCCACGGCAGGAAAAACAAAATTTGGGGGTCCATGAAATAAAAATGGGGGTCCAGGCATATTTAGAAATGAACCAAAAAGTAAAGGAAAACATTATATATGAATCGCAAAGTATAGTAACAATGTGTGTTAAGTTTCATCAAAATCGCAACATGTATTTTTGAGAACATACCATCTGTTTAAATATTAGTATTGAGCGCGAAGCGAGCCACCCATCAACCTTGCATATCTCAGAAACTATTGAATGTTTCAACTTTAAATTTCTGTCATATATTTAGTAAAGTGTTGTAACAATGTATGTCAAGTTTTATCATAATCGAATTATGCATTTTTGAAAACGTACAATCTGTTTCAATACTAGTATTGAGAGCGAAGCGAGCCACCATTCGACCTCGCATTTCTCAGAAACTATTGAATGTTCCAACTTTAAATTTTTGTCAAATGTTAAGTAAAGTGTATTAACAATGTGTGTCCAGTTTCATCACAATCAAATTATGCATTTTTGAAAACATACAATCTGTTTCAATACTAGTATTGAGAGCGAAGCGAGCCAGCCACTCATCAACCTCGCAAATCTCAAAGACTATTGAATGTTCCAACATGAAATTTTGGTCCCAATCTTGTTAAAGTATAGTAACAATGTGTGTCAAGTTTCATCAAAATCGAATTATGCATTTTTGAGAACACACCATCTTAGGATGGTTGGAGGAATAGTTCAACCATGAATTCAAAGTAGTTTTGTGGGCTGATTTATTATTTATAAAAAACATCGCAAGGGGTCCACGGCACAAACAAGTTTGGGAACCTATGTTCTAAATCATCATTGCTCTTATACAGTTGTTTCCCGAATAATAAGTTATGATCATAGGTTGTATCTATGATGCTTCTAATTTATGTGAAGAATTATTTTCTTAACCATTCTTTACCAGAAATTAAATTATTAACAAAAATTGTGGCAGCAACTGTCCTACCTTGCCATATATTATTTTATAAACTTTATTTTCAAAACAAAAGTCAAACTCAATGATAAGCAAATGATGCAAACTAAATGCAATCATGTGGTGTAATTTTATCCTCATTCAAGTTTCAACCCTGCATTCAATTAATTTCTTTCCCTTTCTCTACAAATCCGAACACGAAATCTCTTACATGATTGTATACAACCAACACTGCAGTATTGCATCGGAGTACAGCGTTAGTAAGTCGAAGTAAAGTAAACGGATTCGACATTCTATGAATAAATAACCAATGAGTAGTAAGGCCACGCCAGTATCGGCAAGGAAAGCATCGTCCAAGTACGGCAATCTACCAAGGCGAAAAAGTTTCCAGCATTTTCCGCGTTGCCGGAGTCTGTCGCCGACAGACGACTACTATTCAAACAACGTTCACAGTTTTCTATCAAAGAAAACGGATACCGAGGTCCGAGATGTAAAGTCAATCTATAGTCGCCGACGAATTTATTGGAAATCGTGGAAAATTTCACGATTTTATAACGTTCTAGTTATAACAGACTTGGGTGTTCATGTTCCACAAATATGCGACGAAACTAATTAGACTTTAATATTTATGATATATTTTTGAGGTTAAATGGAAATATGATGCGATTGAAACGTTAATTTATTTATTTATCTTTTATTCTAAAACAAAATACAAATATCCTTTTTGCAATAAGTGTGTACTTATAATTAAAAACATTTTTAACATCCTGTGCACTGTAATGCATCAGAGACAATTCAAAAAACGAACATAGTTTTCTGTAAAAAGCAGACATATTGAATGATACATTCAAAAATCATGGAAAAGTTCACGATTTTACTGAAGGTCATAGTTGTTACTGGAAGCAGGTATATCAGAACACTATTTTTAGACAAAATCTTTTTAAAAGGGCGAAGATATATCGAGAACTTCAATACAGAAAATATCCGCCTACACATTCTTATACATACCCGTATTTATTTCTATTATATAATAATTTTATAAATCTATTTCTGTAATATAATTCACATGATCTTCATAGTTCTACAATCAAAAAGAATTATATACGAAGAGTTTTGTATGTTAAAATATTAGTATGCCTAGATTGTTCATATAGATATATTTATTATTATGCTTAGATGTTGTTATCCTATAGTTCAATTGAAAAAGTT